TTATGTTATATTTTTCTCTTTGTTCGGTATGATCTAGACAAAGTTTCTTTTAAACTTTCATCATCACCAAGTCAGTTTTAAGATCAAGGACTAAATAAAATTACTACTACTACTACTACTACTACAAACGGAGCTGCTGGTACTTAGAGATTTTCGATCATGAAAGACCTCATATAACTCTCTCGGTAATGTTAGTTTTCTTTGATTTTGACTTTTGCAATAGGATTTCGGAAAACGTGGATTTTGCGTTGGGCGCTTCCAGGAATCTTTTTTAAAAACTCAAATACAGGTAAAAAGTTTTTGTGATAAGCTGGTTGAATAGAGCACAGTTTTCACCTTCTAAAAAAATTCCGATAAAAAAATTACAACGGTTTTCTTGTTTGGTAGGATTTCCAAGGATTTTAATGAAAAGTCAGGTTTTTGAAAGGATTCCTCTTGCGACCAGAGGCTGAAAGATACAAACGTTTTGCTTTTCGTTTTGCACTTGCTAAACAAGGCAGTTTGAACGTAGAAGTTGCGGAATCGGATCCAGTAACCTTAAGGTTTTACATCTATTCACGTTTTATCTTACACAAAAGGTTTTTTGATAGATTTTAACAGTTTTGGCAAGCTTTAGTCATGGTTTTCATCAGAAGATTGTGCACAGAGTTTTGTTTTGATTATTTGTTCTTACTCTTTTGATTTGATGTTGTGTACATCTTTGCCAATGCGTCATATCACTGTTCGTTTAAATGTGAATAGCTTATCGATTTTTCTTATGTGTCCGCCTCTTTGCAATAGATAAAGCAGAGTTACGTAGGTATTTTATATGCATAACGGTATTAAAGACTGTCTCGTTATAAAACACTGCAAACAAATTATGATATCAAAATACTGTAGCTTACAAGATTAAATCAAGTCACCACTATTAGAAATAATAAGAACAACTGTAAGGGTTATTGGTCGATTCTATCCTTAATAACCTGGAGTAATCATGAGAGGATCATCATTTACTAGAGCAGTCATAGTTTCACCAAACCCATTAAACGAAGTTCTAAAAGCCGAGTTATAGGCGCCAAATTGACCAATTTCAATGTAATCATCAACTTTAACATCATTTGGCAATACAAATGGACCGTCCATAAAGTCGAGACTGTCGCAAGTCGGTCCATAAAAAGTAAAGTTTTTCTCTTCATCTGTTTTTGTTGTTGATAACTGGTCTGGACGTACAAGACGCACAGGAAACCGCCAATCCAATAATGGGCCAGCATCAGCTAAATTTCCGTATATTCCATCATTTATATACAGTGTATGGTTTTTGCGAGCCATTACTTTAACTACAAGCGAACATGCTGCAGATACTAATGCACGACCAGGCTCACACCATAAAAGTGCTCCTTCAGGTAAATTTAAGGCATCAAAACCGCGTTTAATGGCAAGGAAAAAAAGATCAAGAGAAGGCGGTATAGAGCCTGGATAACTTGCAGGAAAGCCGCCACCAGCATCAATAACGTCAATTTTAACATTAGCTTGGCTAATAATATCACTCACAATAGCAAAAGCATGTTCATAACATTGTGGTTCTAAACATTGAGAACCTACATGGAAACATATACCTAATTGTTTAGCAATTGGTCGAGCTTGACGTAAAATATTGATTGATTCTATTACACTGGCACCATATTTACCCGATAAATCATGTAACGCAATTCCTTTTGGTAATTCTACTCGAATAAAAAGACCAAGATCACTCCCACTTGCAGTTGCTTCAATAATTTTATTTAATTCTTCTATACTATCAAGTGAAAAATCGCGTATACCATAATCAAAATAGGCTTTACGTATTGAATTTTTAGTTTTTAATGGATGCATAAAATGAATTTTTCCCAAAGGAAAATGACGATAAATTAATTCAATTTCTCCCAATGACGCACAATCAAAATGACGAATTCCACCTTGCCATAGCATTTGTAAAATATATGGATCTGTATTACATTTAGCTGCATAGAGCACTCGGCCAGGAAATGATGAAACAAAAAGATTAGCAGCAGATTCAATAACTTTTGGTCGTATACAATACAATGGTATTTCTGGTTGCAGATCGGAAATAACTTTGTCAATAGAATGTAAGTCAGACGGATAAGATGAAAAAGTAGTGGCGGTCGAAAGAATTTGAGGAACAATATCAATCAACAAATTGTCATCAATTTCAGTCTTTTCATCATTTTTATTCGTGTCTGCTGTGTTTTGCTCGTCATTAATTTTATTCGTGCCGGCTGTGTTTTGCTCTTCATCATTTTTATTCATGCCTGCTTTGTCTTGCACTTCATCATTTTTATTCGTGTCTGCTTTCTCGTGCACTTCATCATTTTTATTCGTGTCTGCTGTGTTTTGCTCGTCATTATTTTTATTCGTGCCTGCTTTGTCTTGCTCTTCAATTTGAACTGTAAAAGATTCCATATTAAGATACTCTTTATCTAATGTGGACATTTTGCTTCTACACGTTATTTCTGTCTGATGCTTATCGCACTGAATTGCATATTCTGAACAAAAAAGTGCCATTTATTAAAACGGTTAGGTATTTTCATATATATTGAAGTCGAAGCACGTCTCCTCTTCATTTAAACAGAAAAATTCATATCTCATGCACTACGAAAACTATAACTAAAGCAGCGGTTTTAATCATTTTCAATTTCGAACGTTTTGATTCGTTAAAAAATCATGGTCAAGGATATATGCAGAAAAGAGAAGCTTTTCTTTTAAACTGAACAGTATAATCTATATTTATATACTGTAGGATTTTCTCTCTTCAAGTATTTTTCTTTCTACTGTTTAACCTTTCTTTTCTAGACTACAAATAGACAGAAAAGAATTTTGTTACACAACTGTGTTCGTCTGTGTGTATTTCGAGTCTTTGACTATACTATCTCTTTTGCTTTCTTGGAGGAATTCCTTTTTGGAAAAACGATCATCGGAACAGAGTGAGTTCTACAATTTTATTTTGGTTCCAGCGTTTTGATCATCAAGGTCTTTGAAAACACCGCAGTGACCTCAAACATTCTTTCAACTCAAAGATAAAATACCGAAACACATCTTCAGTCAGAGGTTGTCTATATAGCAAAATGATAGATGTTCAATACTTTAGAGCCAAAATAAAATTGTACAACTCACTCTGTTCCGCTGATTGTTTTTCCAAAAGGAATATCTCCAAGAAAACAAAGAGAGAAAACAAAAGAGATAGTACCCAGCCAGTCACAGTCATTCTAGAAAAGCGCAGGAAACTCTGTTTACGAATAATTTTACGCGTTTGACGAGTTTCGAATAATAACGCGCAAGAAGCTACGAGTGTGTAAAAATAAACCGCACGAACATGCGTGTAAAGCCTTTGTCTCGACGGCAACGTGCGTTTTCTGCGGTCTACTTTTAGACACTCGCAGCTTCTTGCGCGTTAATATCCGGAACCCGCAAAACGAGTAAAATTTGTCGTAAACAGAGTTTCCTGCGCTTGTCTAGAATGACTATGACTGACTGGGTATAGTCAAACACTCGAAATACATACAGACGAACACAGTTGTGTAACAAAATTCTTTTCTTGCTATTCTGTGATCTAAAAAAAATGTTCACGTACTACCCCAAAAAGGTATCTTCATCCGTAGATCTCGATGAGATTGCAAATTTTGTATGATCACGGGACCGATATACGCTCCTCTCTTGTATGATGCATATGGATTTCAATTCTTTTCTCACAGATGATAGTGACGCCTAATTCAACCAAGATGAACACTGTTTCTTGGCACTCGAGTGCAATCATGCCTTTCCTCCATCCGGAAACGAATTTAAGTAGTAGTTAGTAACAGTCACAGACAGAAAACTATTTTAATATCGGTGGTCACATTTGAAAATAGAGATAGGTTCATAAGACAGCCTAAATATGCGTTTGGCGAAAAACATTTTGCGAAATCTTGCTTACCACAGTTTAAGACTTAGCTACTGCTTGACTGAACTTGGTGATCGTTCAGAAGAAACACCGCTGAGACTATTTCAGATTTTTCTTGTGGTCCCAAGACTTCTTTCAGGTAAGTGTTTTTCGTTTTGTTTTTCTATAAATTCATATCTTGGATGGAGAAAAGACATGGATGCACTTTGGTGCACAGATACAGTCTTCATCCTTGTTGAATCAGGCGTCAGTAACATTTATGAGGAAACAAATGAAATCCATATATCCAGGCTTATATATACACAAAATTTGCAGTGACCACAAATTTACTTTCACGCGGCGAGATCTACGGATGAAGATAGCTTTTTGAGGTAGCGCATGAGATATGATTTTTGCTTTGTAAACGACGAGGAGAAGTGCTTCAATCATTTAGTTATCAAGATCCGGAAAAGGTATGAACTGGACTGGAAGCTTCAGATGGCTGAAGCACAATGCGAAGCAGTGCTTTCATATTGCTATTGGTTAGCGTACTAATATTTGTCTGCTAGGAGAGAACTTTTCAATCAAGATGCATTCAGGTACATCAATGACACGTGTGTTACGCTTTACCTTTTGCATGTTCGTTGCTAACTGATCCAAGTTTGTATGGCATTTTGATTACTGACATACTCAATAATTGTGACATTTTTATTGACTAACTCTTCGCTCGCACCAAGAATAAATATTACGAGTTCTGATGATGTGTTACGTAGTATGTCAGCATGGATTGTCGTTGCGCAGGCCTATATAACAATTCGTCAGTGGGTTTCATTTACGGTTCGCTGCTGTTAGGTGAATAACATGCATTTACTTGGATAGTAAACTGCTTGTGTCACTGTTCGAAAAAATAAATTAAAAAAATATAACATCCTACCTTCATCGTTGCTTCCATATACCACGCTGTTTTCTTCGAATTTTCCACGAAATACCGTACATTGTGAGTTTAATTTTCCTAATTTTTCTACCCACTTTTTTCTACACCTATAGAAAAACGACGTATAGGCTGTAATTAATCAATCCACTTTGTTTTCTTTGTTTCATTTCGTCATTGCCGGCGAGCTCTGACATCTACGTTTACGATATCAAAATTACCACCTCGGGAGTGTTTGTAAGAATTAGGTAATACAAGCGTTCGATTAAGTTGACGATCAAACAGTATGGAACAAACCAGCTTGTCTGAAACAAGAAAATTCTGGTCCAATTGAAATGAGATACACAGTCACCGAAAAAGCTCTGACGAGAGATTTTAGCCGTATTTTCGGCCTTTTCTCTGTTGCGGAAAGCCCGAAGTCGACATTTCACTTACAAAACCTTTTAGCATGCAGTTTAGTCAAGAGTTATAGGTGGAGCAGTGAGAGACTGATATTTGGCATGGAACACTTGTTCTCGAGTGTGATGTGCTCTTTTCAACTTTTCTTACGTCTTTTTGTTACGCTACCATAGATGATGTTTCTGTCAAAAGCTGACAGGAAGTTCTGAAATTGTCTTTAACCAGAGAGAGATGAATAACACAGCCTGGTATTAGATTATTATTATTGTCTGACGTCTTTTCAAGTTCATCTTGTAAACCTATCCAAGCTTTTCACCTGACAGGTATAAGACTCTTTCCAGTTCTTCTCTAACAAGGACGAATACGATTACTTAAGCATCATATTTAGCTTGGACCGTCGCGAAAATATCGAACTGGCTTTCCTTTTCCATGATGTGAGTGTGAAGTAGGTCGAGAAAACCTCCAAAACATGAGGTGGTAGTTTCGATTTATTAATAGTATATCTATTATTAAAGGCAAAATCACACGTTCTGGTAGCTTGTTTGTTGACATATGTTAACTGTAAAGTAGGTCGAGAAAACCTTGAAGACATGATAGAGCAAAGACTCGTTCATGGAGTCTCTGCCTTCCCATGTCTTACTTTAAAATGGGTTATATCGTGCAAGGGTGTTACAACCAGAAATCTCGGACAATATCTGCAAAGAGTGAGGCTGTGAGAAAGTATAGTAGAACCTCCATCAAATCGTTGGTGAAAGCAAGAACGAGAGATGATCCATGGTCTATCTCGACACGCCTTCATACGGTTGTACTATCTAATTCTTATCGAAACTGCTGAAGTGGTGCTTTTGATATCGGGGAGGTGCATGCCAGAACTGGCTGGCAATGATGGGATGGAACGAAGAAACCAAGATGGATTTTTCCAGGACTACTCGGTAATACTTGAGTAGTTTTATTGAATGTGATTTCCCACACACTCAAAAGAAAGAGTATTCTCGAAACCGGGAAAGGTTACTATATTCGTTTATACGCTCTTCGGTTTTCGAAATTTCAAGAAGCGTTTACTGTTCGAGTTCTGTTTCAGTTCCGAGCGATTTGTTATCGTTTACCGCAGGGAGTGTCATATAATAACATTTTCGAAAACCCTTAAATGAGGTGATTGATAGTTGGATTCCCCTTTTAATATATTTTGTGGAAATTGAAGGGAACCCGGAACAGTATTCACTTGAGGGTTTTTGAACTTTTGGAAACCGAAGGCTTTTAGAAGAAATAATTCGAATATCTAAAACGTATATAAAAGGTACTCACGCTCGTCCTCTAAAACCGAAAACAGTATTATAAAAGTATTCTCGATACGCTGTCGGCTTAAGAAAATATTTCGAACAAAAAGAGTTTTAAAAAATGCTCTGTTCGGTAGATCTTAAAAGTGTTTTCGAGTCATTGCGGTTTTCTAATACTCTATTTCTTGTTATACGTAGAAAGTCCAAAAAGGTTACTTTTATCGTAAATCGCTTATCATACATGATTAACTAAATGCCTTTCAAACGAAACAATAGCATGGTCATTGCAAAGCAGACAAAGGCACCAGCACTATCATCAGTAAACAATTTGTATTTGTGCAGTCTAAACAAAGACTTCTCCTTAGCAAATCACTAGCCTTCAAACTGATATCCCGACAAATCTTATTCAAAATATTTCCAAGACCGGTTATCTATAGATAGAGTAGAAATTAACCTCGAGGAAGTGTTTAAGCGAAGAGACCTTCAACTTTATTCTCACCAAGATAAGCTAACGACTAGTCAGCCACCGAGGCAAGCTAGCAGCTACCCAGCCACCAAGGCAAGCTAGTGACTAGTCAGCCACTAAGGCACGCTAGCGACTAGTCAGCCACCAAGGCAAGCTAGCGACTAGTCAGCCACCAAGGCACGCTAGCGACTAGCTAGCCACCAAGGCTTTGCAAGAAGTATCTTTTATCGATGACAGAGAGGAGGAGTATTTTACGTCTACTTCACTATAACTAACAGTCGCTCATCCATAACGAAAATGCATCTATTAGTAACCACACACCAAACTTTTCAGGGCTGTCACGGTTGGCCGGATCGAAAGATAAAGCACAGAGACGCAAGTAATTTATATGCACGATTTTGTTGTGAAAAACTCCACCATACTGAAATCATGAGCATCTGAAAAAAGTGCTAAAATGAGATAAATTTTTCTCCCATCTTTGTTTTCACACATCAAAACTGT